TGATATGTTCTTCCAGTAATAACAGGAAGCAACTTCTCTAGTTGTAAGTGTTAGAAAAACCTGGATGACTGAATAGCTATTCTATTACACAGCAATTTAAAGCACAGAAATTCTACCAAGAGGAAAAAGTCACAATTCTGAACTGGAAGGCTGGAAGCCTTTTAAAAAAACACTGTCAAAACCCACACCTAACTGAATATCTGCAATAGGAAACTAATTTTAAAATCCCTATATGGTAGAACACTGCTAATTATTTATTGCCACTGCCTTCTTCTATACCTCTCACATTTCAATGGATGTTTTTTTTATATTATGTGTTATGTTACACACAATTCCTGCTTAAACCAGTTTTTACGTAATTAGACAATTAACATACTTTGCCTCCTCCTTGTGCTCCCCTCCTTTTCTTAAGGCAAAGTTTTGATTGCTAATGAAGCACACAGAAACCCAAACATGGCAAAGTATCTTTCCATGTTTTGTGACAGGCAAGATACAAAGATAGCTCTAAGTTGTAACCCTTCCCTCACATCCATATAATGAAAAAGACATAGTTTAGGTTTGTCCAAGTATTTTAAATACACTTCAGGTATAGGTCTCTGATTCTATTTGATGGATGCAGTGTAGCATTAGCAATGACATTTTAAAGGCCTGCGATTATTGATTCATTGTATTTATGTCTTGTTTTTTTCTCTGAGAAATCAAGTTAGTTTTACATGGGGGCCTCCTCAAATTGTATCCAAACAAGTTATAAGGTGAGTTTGGCTGAGAGAGAATGACTAATAAAAAAATCATCCCACTGAGCCCATTTGGCCTTAAAATTTTACAATGTAACCCCTGTACATTATTGTCTATCCACAGAGTAATGGCATTAAATTTGGGTGCAACTCAACAATCCACCACTTGACCTCCTTTCAAATAAGTCTTCATTTTCTTACAGACCCATCAACTTCTCCACTGTGGATCTGAAATCTCTTTCAGAACAGATCTGATAAGTACGTGAAGGACTGTAGAGGGACGACTCACTATCCCATTCCAGTTCCTCTGAGAGAAACAATTTCAGAAGTGAAAAAAACAATACATTGATAAAAACAATAATACATGTAATACATATATTAATATTAATACATTTATTACATTATCCTAAATATTTATTTAGATCATATGATTACATTTCAGGGTGCATAGATGTTTGACTCTGCTTCAAGCCTAATTGTCTCGGTTATCTGTGATATATAAACAACATGTCATGTTTTTATAATACTTTTCAGCTAAAAGAAGGTTATTTATTTATTTATTTATTTATTTATTTATGAGACTTATATACCGCTTTAAGTGCAAGCACTCTCTAAGCGGTGTACACCAGTAAGCAATGTATATATATATTTACATTGCCCCCAACAATCTGGGTCCTCATTTTGCCTACCCCGGAAGGACGGAAGGCTGAGTCAACCTTGCCAGTCCTTATTTACTGTGAGCATTGTAACTCTGAAAAGATGCACTTTGGGATTTTTAAAATGACAAGCAATATGTAAATATTGTAAATAAATAATAGTTATTCAATAATTAAAAAGAATATTAAATATAGAATTCAACAAACACACCACCACTATATCCATAAATTGTGGAGGCTGTAATTAGTTTGAAGTTATACATATATTATATACTTATAAATGCTGCTCGTAAGTCTCATTGGGGTGGTCCTAGGGTAGGGGTAGGCAATCTTGGCTCTTTTATGACTTGTGGACTTCAATTCCCAGAATTCCTGAGCCAGCATGCTGGCTCAGGAATTCTGGGAGTTGAAGTCCACAAGTCATAAAAGAGGCAAGGTTGCCTACCCGTCCTAGGGGAAAAACTTTAGTGGGGAGGAAGACTATGATTTATTCTGTAGGGAGACAAAGATGATGAATATGGCTGGGATCGTGGCTTAATTTCCCTTCATGTACTGTTTGTAAATGGAAATATTGGCAGTGAGGTCTGCTCCTCCCAATGATGCTACTGGATACTGCCCAGCTGCCAGGGTAGTGTTGACCTGAACACAGACCAAACCAATGTCAGGCCCAACGTCTTGCAACCAATGGATCTACGAATATATCCATCAAAATGCAGCATAACCCCGATGCTGTATTTGATCATGCAAAATGGCATTTGACAATTTGAAAAATGGGCCTTGTATCACCAACCTTAACACAGGATAATGATGATGATGATATGATGATGATGTAAATGGAAATGTTCTTTTCCCCTTCTGTCACATGAAAAGTTACAATTCAGTGAGTCATGGTAATTTGAAGACAATTTTGGAACTTCCTGGCTGAATACAGCCCTGCAATCTCAGATGGGACAACCCTGAAGTATGAGACAGCATTTTTCAGTTTCTTCAGATCTCTATCTGTATTTTCAGACAAGCAGAGGAATCCTTCCGACCAATAACTGAATGTGTGATCTTTTTTTTATAAGTTACCCAATCTCACATGGTGTCACATCTCAATTATACTTTTTGAACTCATCATTTCATATGTCTACATATCAAATGTATAAAGCCTCTGGTGGAAATGTGATAGTACACTGATCAAATTCTGCAGCTTGTCAATTTCTACCTTTATTTGAAATCATCATCACAATGATAACTGGACAGTATTTGACAATAAACACTTGGAAATGCCTTCATGTGAACACTCAATTTTTGGATCAAACGGCATGTTTGTACATGGGAACTGTAATGAAGGTACATGCTTATAAATGTTATAATAAATATTATGTGCTGTTTGTTTCCCTTAAGGCTGTTTGCAGTGCAGCGTATCACACTGTTAATTGCAGAAGAGAATTCTTGGCTGTGATTCCTTTTTATCACATAAACACTTTAATGAGCTGTGTGCAGCCTAAGTTTGAGTTTCTCTTGTGTTCAAAGAGAAAAATCAAGTTCTGTATAATTTATACATAACAAAATGTTTAACTGAAGTTCAGGTCCAATAATGCACCAATAATCTTTGGAAGAAGCTTGGAAAATCAATACCCGGGATTCTGGAAACTATACTTACTCTTGCTTTTTGCACAATGCAGCACTATCCTTTACTGCATCCCTATCTGGGTATTCTGAAACAGATCCTATTAGGTTGAAACCAATGGAACCCTTCTTTTTAAAAAAAAACAAATAACAAAAACAAATACCACTGCAAATACACCAATTGCAGTGAGGCAAATAGCTTTGCAAGAGCTCACTCATCTTGTCCCTATTTAAAAGAGCCTTCTAGTCATCTAATCTAATATTACAATTAGATTTAAAATAAAATGATTTACTGTATACTGAAGATTGGAACTTCAGTTGTCAACTGTAACTGTAACTTGTAACTGCATTTCTCAAAAATACCTCATTTCAGAACCAGAGATTTAGAAAGAATATTCCTCCCTCCACAGGCTGTGGTTGCAGCTTATCCAGGAAATCTAGCTAGGACCTGAACTATCTTGAGTTCAAATGAAACTTCAACTTCTGGACAAACTATAATGCTTACGGCTAGGAATAGGGTGGACACCACAGTGTGGTACAAATAAATACATGAAATCTTAGGAAAGTAAGAGGAACACTCTGGAATGCTCCATAATTATTCCATGACTTCCTAGAATCTGGTGGCATTACATTGGCTCTCCAAAATGTACTGATGAAATTATTGCAGGCTTCTGTTTTTGTGATTTGACATGTTAAAAGCTAGTAAAAGCTGTTTTGTGAGATGGGCAGCTATTTTAATTTGACAAATAAATAAATAAAACACTTACTTGCTATTATAAAATGCTTCTGGATCTCCTTGTACATATCTGCTGTTTCTAGCCAGAGATCCATATTACTCCTTGTTGACTTTCTGAAAATTAATGACCTGGTTGTTCTCCCATATCTTGAGCTAGGCTGAGCCTCTTTGGTTTTTGGTTCTAATCAACTGTAGTCTTAAATATGTAGGTTGATTTCTTACAATTTTTAAATTGTAAGACACCCAGAGTCGCTATGGAGTCAGTCTGCTTCAAAACTGAAATAATTAATTTTTCCAGTACTTGATACTGGCATATAGAGACTAAGAAAGATGAACTCTTTTTGAATTTTGCAGGAGTCGCAAACAAGTAAATGTACACAAGTAAAACAAAAGCCTTTCCTTATAGACTTTGGGAATTGTATGTCTTGCTGTTTCCTGTACACTTCCTTATTCAGCCTGCTGGCTTTTTTATGAGCTCTCTTTATCTTGCCTTTGGATCACAATAGCCTGAAGTTGTTCTTCTGATAACATCTTGTTCTCTAGAGCAACTGTAGATTCATCCTTCATCCACTGTCCCCATGTGTAGATTCCTGAAATCTCGGGGGGGCGGGGGGGGGACTCTGGCACCCTAGCATATATTCCCTTAGTACGATCTGTACTTGCTACTTAGCAAGCAGCAGTAGCAGCAAGGATTTCTACAAATCTACTGTGGACTCAGTAGAAGTTTAATTTTTCTAAAGAAACTTAAGAAAAAAATGCTATGTTTGTGAGTAATAAAGCTATTAGTTGAAAGCTAGCTCCATTTACTCAGAAATAGGTCCACTTTGCTTCTCGAATTCTACTTTTCTACATATGAATTGTCAGTACTTTTTTTGTAATTCTTTGATACTCGATTGTCAAAGTGCTCCATTTGTGCATTCACCAGGGTGAACAAATTCATCGATAAGGATCCCTTGGGACAGTTGAAGACGGGGAGGGGGGGGCGGAAACATGGCCTTCAATTACTACTGCACACGTAGGAGGACGACTTCCGTGTTTGACGGACCTTCTCCCACCTATGCCCTCACGGGGCTATTCTTTTTCTCTTGTTCCCTCAGAGCGAGACCGCGGCTAGCTCCGTCTTCCAGCTCTCAGGAGGAAAGAAAAGCCTTCCCACCGGTGCCCTGAAACCAACTCCCTCCCCCCCAAAAAACGGGGTAACCTCCCTCCGCCTTCCAGGGCGAGACGAAGGCCCCGCCGCGCTGCATTGTGGTCCACGCCGTTGTAGGTTGAAGCCGCAGAGGCTGTCGGGAATCCCAGGAGGCGGCGACCCAGCTCCGAGCGGCGGCCCGGGGCTTGGCTTGGAGCAGGCACCGATCGCCTCCCGGAGCTCCTCTCCTTCCCTACAGCGCTCTCCCGGCAGCGGCTCGCCGCCGCTGCCCCCGCCGCCGGCCGTCGTGGGGAGGCGGAAGAGCCTTCGGGAGCATCTCCGACTCAGCTACCTCGGATGGGGATGTGGAGGCAGGAGGCGGAGCTACCTGGGCAGAGAAGGCCGAAGTTGAGAGCGAGAAGCGGAGCGCAGAACTCCGCATTGGCGCTGCGGGTCCCCTGAGGCCTCCAGAGGAGCAGCCCTCGGCCCTGGAAAGCCGCGCGGCTTCCCGGTGAGGGGGGGGGGGAAACCTCGGAAGAGAGGCTCCCCTCGGGGGCTCTTCAGCCCGGTCTTGCAACTTTTCCCCGCTTTCTGCTCTTTTAACTCTCCTGCCTCGTGAAGGTGGCGGTGCGAAGAGCTCCTGCCTCCCCGGGGAAGAAGGGAAGGATAATGGTTGGCAGCCACATCCCAGGGATGATCTTTGGCTCTTGGCTCTTCTTTTGAAGCTTTCCTTTCGCGGCAACCTCCCCCTCCCACCCCCCGAAAAGAGGAATTCTAAGTGCAGGGGGAAGACGCGGAAACTGAAGAGACGGAAGAGAGGAGTGTCTTCTGGGGCCTCCGGGAGAACTGCAACAGCCTCTGCTACTTTCTTCTTTTTTGTTGTCGAAGTAATGCCGTTGTGACCTTAAGTAAGATTTCTACATCCTGCACAATTTGCCGGCCCAAAGACGCCGAGAAAGCACTCGGCCTTTTTGCACGTTACCTCTCGCCTTTGAAAAAGACTTGTTAGGTTGGATGGTTGCTCTACCATTTCAAATGCTTTTGGAAATGAATGGGCAAACTTGCTGAAAAAAATCTGATATCGTTGGGAAAAAATTGGTCTGTGACAAATCTCTTTTATCAAAGAAGGTAAGTGGATTTTATGATTATGAGGTGTGATGGATTATTGGAATAAAATAATCAAGGAGTCCATCCTCAACGTTAGGTCAGTTAAATTGTTTAATTTAAAATGATTAAACTCATTTGATTATATAGCTTTTAAAATATGAGAACTAAAATTGGAATGGTGAAAATGGTTTATGTTTAGCTCAATAGTTACAAACTTGTAAAGGGTAAAAAAGTTTGAAACGAATTTGGTGGCCTTTAATAAAGAGGAACTGTTTCCGTTATTTATGACTCACTTCAAGAAATTTATTAAAGCTTTTAATAATGCTGTACCAAACTGTTTAAATCCCTATACATCTTAATTCAAGATCTGAAAGTTACAGAATCACAGAAAAGCTTATAACTTATTAATATCCAGCATTTGCTTAGGATGGAAGAATTCAGGTTCAAAGCTATGTTAGTTCATGTCTTAATGATTTATTTGTGATAATACTTATTTGTTCTTTTGAACTTTTTAAATATAGTATTTCCTAAGAAGTTTCTTCTCATTAGTTAATAGCGCCCAATTGCAAAAAGACACCTGTATTATTTCTGTATCAATATATAGTAGTGGCCAAAATTGTGGAAACCTTTTGGGAAAAGTGTATTTTTGAGGTTTAATGGCTAATAACACCACTTTCTTTGGAGTAATACCATAAAATTATATATCATTGGAAAGATAATTTAATCAAGAATGTAATGCAACAAAGTTTGTTCAATTATCTGTACTGTATTCTATGAAACGTTATAGCCAAATAACCAGAAAAAGGAAGCACAACTTGCTTAGGCTGATACCTTTCCTTTCCTTCATCTGATTGCAGCCAATGAGCATGAGTGTTTAGAGAGCCAATCAGGTGTCATCTTGTTTTGGCAATGAGCCAATCAGATCACAGTAAGATTCAGTTATTGATATCATGTATTGAAGCTGAGAGGAGGACATTTGTCAGTGTGTTATGTGATCGCTATCAAGTTGGTTGGGTTTTTATGTGTTCTTTCATTTAGTGAGCTTGTAAAACGTAATAAAATTAAAGTAATGGTGCAAAGAGTTGACTGGTCTCCCAGAAAACGATGCAAAATAGTATTATTAATCTAACAAGGTTACAGTTATAAAGAAAATAAAAGAAAAATTGGTGGAAACTTAACCAAAGGTGGTATTTCTACTGTACACTTTTCCCAAAAGCTTTCCAGAATTTTGGCCACTACTGTATTTCTTTAAAAAGATATTGTGTGACCATTTCCCCACCCCAAACTCAAGAGAAAAGGAAGTAGATAGTAAAAATTTAAAAATTAATTAAAGCAGTTATGTCTTCTAGATCAGGGCTTTTCAACCAGTGGTACGGGTACCACCTGTGGTACACTGGCACCTTGCAGGTGGTACGCGACCACCCTAGAAAAGTGGTAGTGGGGGAGGGGAATGAGTTGAACCAGTGGCAGCACTGCACAAGCCTGAGCGAGAGATGGCTGGAACTGCAGGGCTGTCAGGGCTCAGCGGAAGCGCCAGGATCAGTGACGCTTTCCACCTGATCGGCGCGTCTTCGGTACTGTCAGGGCTCAGTAGAAGCGCCAGGATCGGCGCCAGGCTCCAGCTGGAGCTCAGCGCTGATCCTGGTGCTTCTGCTGAGCCCTGAAGAAGCACCAATCAGCTGGAAAGCAACACTGATCCTGGTGCTTCTGCTGAGCCCAGAAGAAGCGCCGATCAGCTGGAATGTTGCAGCATCTCCAGGGTCTTGTGATTTACATTCAGATGCTTGGCAACCGATTGATATTTATGATGGTCACAGTGTCCCAGGGTCAGATGAAGTGACCAAAACCTGCTGCAACCACCCAACAGACGGGGAATAAAAACCAAACACCCTCCCACCCCACCTCCGCTGCCAATCCTCAACAGAAATGCTCACAACAATGAAAACCTCTGACAGGAGAAAAAGCGCCACCAGGTGGGCAGGCAGGTGTCTTGCTCGGCTGTGGCTTGGGGGGCACTTTTTTCAGTGCCATTTTTTTGTTATCAAGTTTTTGACACCTTGCTAGGCGACTGGTGGTACTCGGATATTGCCATATCCTAAAAATGGTACAATGGGTGAAAAGGTTGAAAAGCCCTGGTCTAGATACCCATTTTGTTCTAATAGACCAAGGTTTTTCAACCTTTTCACAGACTACCACTTTTAGGACATGGCAATATTCGAGTACCACCAATGCTTAGCATGGTGTCAAAAACTTGATGACTTAAAAAAAGGGGGGGGGGATTTTAGGTTTCATTTGTTATAGAAATGGCTAGTTTATACTATTATGGAAAAGGACAAAGTTGAGGTTTGATGTTAATGCTTCATTCTACTGCAACAGAGGAAGTTAGAAGTCAGTGCCTTTTCTTTCCCCTTTCTCCCCCTCACTTTTCTTTCCCCTTTTTCCTCTCCACTGTCCTACTATTTGCTTTTGTATTTTATTCTATAATCTAATAAAACGTTACAAACCGTTAAAAAAAGTACTGGTTTTACTCCTCCTTTTATATCCTCTCTTCTCTCCCTCCTCCTCTTTTTCTGTTCCTGGTGCGCTGGAAGCGTTTATCAGCTGGAGGTATGACCTCTTAGCAGAGCCCCAGTAACACTGCAGTTCCAGCTGATTATCCCTCAAGCTTCCCTGGCGCTGCTTTAGCTCATCCACTTTTACACTTTTTTTTACACTGCTTTTCAACCTGTTGTATGCATACCATCTGCAAGATGCTAAAATACCACCAGTGGGATACGTACCACTGGTTGAAAAGTCCTACAATAGACTATGATAGTTGATTAATAGTCACGTGAACAAATAGGTTTGCTTTATTCCTGTTGTGTCTATTGCTGAATTCATACCTTTCAAATTAATCTATCTGCAATAATGCTACTAATGCATTTTCTGTACTGGCAATTATTAATGCAAATATTAGAATGTTGGTACTTACCCATAAACATAGGCTGGAATCAGATAAAAATCTACCCCTATACTTTTCTTTAGCACCTACTAAGGTAAGTTAGAATTTCAAACTATTATCCATGTCAAGTGAACTTTAGCATGGGCAATTGTATATATATTAGTTTTACCAAGTTATATGTTGCGCACATGTCTAATACATGTCCAATACATGCACAGTCTTGAGAGCAGTCAGCTGGAGGTGCACCAAAGAGAAATGGGGGGAGGGCAGACGATATAAAAGAAGGGGGGAGAGAAGAGAAGATATAAAAGACGGAGGAGGAGAGAAGATAAGATATAAAGGGAGAGAAGAGAGGATATAATAGGAGGAGGGGTAAGAAATTTGTTAAATGAGTTTTGCCCCATTTTATGACTTTTCTTGCCACATTTGATAAGTGAATCACTGTAGTTGTTAAATTAGTAACACGGTTGTTAAGTGAATCTGGTTTCCCCATTGACTTTGCTTGTCAAAAGGTTGCAAAGGGGGATCACATGACCCTGGGACAATGTGACCATCATAAATATGAATCAGTTGCCAAGCATCCGAATGTAAATCACATGACCCTGGGGATGCTGCTACGGTCATAAGTGTAAAACATTATCATAAGTCACTTTTTTCAGTGCCGTTGTAACTTCGAACAGTCACTAAGCAAACTGTTGTAAGTCAAGGATTATCTGCAGTTTATCACTTTTTTCCTTTTTTTTTTTTTGTCATCAAGTTTTTGACACCTTGCTAGGCGACTGGTGGTATTTGAATATTGCCATATCCTAAAAGTGGTACAGTCTGTGAAAAGGTTGAAAAGCCTTGCTGTATACTGCTGAAACAGATGCTACATGTGTGGGTTCACAAAGTCCCCAAGAATTGAGTTCAGCTTAAGCGAACTTCAACCTTCTGACTGAGAATAGTAGAAGCTGTCGCTCTCAAAGGGTGGCATTACTACTATCGTCATCTTAAAACTCATCTGGAATCATCTGTCAAGAGAGATCTGAATCTTTAAGTAAAAATCACTATGAAGTAAAAAGGAAAGATGACTCGGAAATGCCCTTCTTTAAAGATTCATCATAGTATCTGATGAATTAATGTGGGCTCTTTAATAAAACAGAAATACCTTAGATCAGCAGGCAAGTGAAATCAGTCCTTTTTAAAACACATTAATACCAATATATAGGTATTAAAAGCAACCAATTTATCTCCACTGTTCTGTACGTCTGCAACGCCTTCAACACCTATGGAATCAAACAGTGCGTGGATTTAACAGGTTGGTAGTAAAAGCTGGGCAGCACCACACCTTCCAGGGTGAACCCTTCAGAAAGATGCGGGGCAGAGGAGCGTTCTCCAGGCAGCCTCTTCATCTTGTGATGTCTGGAATCGGCAGTCAGGAAAGAGGAAGCAGGTCTCAAAGTTTTGCTTTTTCTTTTTTAAAAATCCAGATTTTTAAATGAGCATATCTCATCAGGATCACGTAAAAGGTTAGCTCAGTGTTTCCCAAACTTGACAATTTTAAGGCATGAGGACTTCAACTCCCAGAATTCCACAGCCAGCGTTGCTGGCTGTGGAATTCTGGGACTTGAAGTCCACATGCCTTAAAATTGTCAAGTTTGGGAAACACTGGGTTAGCTGGAACACTTTTAACAAAAGTAAAAAAAGATCTCTATGTCGTTAAGGATCGAACCGGATGCATTGTGGAAATAGAAATCTGCCGGCTAGTTGGCTGGAGGGAAAGACGCGTTTCGCCTGAAGAAAGAGACGTGCAGACGTTTTTCAAGATCTTGTAGTTTTCATTTTAGGATTCTGCTTGGCCAGGAGTTGTGATAACTAGAAGTTGGCATACTTCGGAAAAGAGGAAATCGGCATTAAAGAGAGGAAGAATGTTTGTTTTTTTTAGCCATGCCTATGCCTCTCAACAAAACCTTCTGAACCTTCCCTGTATTCTTTCTAGGTTTCCGGGAATGGATCCCTTTCTGGATTTGCTGAATTCATTTTCAAGGGCCTTGTCGCCCGCGGAGCTTGAAGATCTTAAATTTCTTTGCCACAGCCACATTGGTAAAAAAAAACTTCAGGAGGTGAGCCGTGGCAATGAGCTCTTTGCGATTCTCCTGGAACAGGAAAAAATTGCCTCCAACGATGTAGGGTTTTTGAGACAGCTGCTCAAAACCCTGAAAAGAGAAGATCTATTAACTCAACTGGAGCAGTATGTCAAAACAGAAGATGGTGATCCAGGTCGTCAGCCAGATGATGAACAGAAATGTAGGTTGCTCTTGTTTCTTTTTGATCTGAAAAAAAAAAGATCCTTTGGTCTTTTGAGGGGCAGGACAGCAATCCTCCACACACTAGTTTATAATGCATCCCACTGGTTATGAGTGGATTTACTTTTTGGTAAATATTCAGGCCAGTAAGGTGGATCTCTAGGTGCTATAAGACACTTTGGGGTTATTTTTGTGAAATAATTAGTTATAGGAATATTCCGTGGAAGTCCAAGGTGACTTGTTCAAAAGGCAAGTTGCTTCTAGCCAGGCAAGCTGCTCCAGATTAACTGTTGGTACTTGGCATCTCATACCACCTTCCTTTGCCCAGAGATCTTTTGCCCCTCAGATAACTGCAGGAGAGAAGAGAGGCATATGAGAAAGAAGATTATTAAGTAACTGCAGCCCTTGCATCTTGCCCAGTCCTATCCAGGAGATTTATATTAAAAAAAATGTAACTGGAAACTCTGGGAGCAGTAGCTTTCAGCTTTTGGAGGGAGCAACTACTGGTATATGAGCATTTCTTTTCTTCTTTTTTTTTTTTGTAAAAATTTTTATTTTCAACTTTACAATACATAACAATCTTACAAATACTTCAGATAAAAAATAAAACAAATTGATACACACCACATTCGGTCTTGCCCGCCCATTTCCCCCCGAACCACATCCCACCTCAAACCAACTTACTTCTTTCCCTCTTTTTCTTCACTCACCCCCTCTCCTCCTTCACCTCCACCTTCCTACTTACTTCTCGCCTTCTTCTTCTCCCTCTTGATGCATTCCAGGGGAAATGCCCGGGCAGTTCCTCTCTCAAAATTAAAACAGTAATATTATATACAATAAGACTATTTCTACTTTATCTGAACTACTTAAACTTCAACCCATCCACTCCCCACCCCCCTCCCCCCCCGACTTCCCAGAGCAAAATACAGGATTATGCAAACATATTAAACATAATCTATTTAAGTTTACTAATTATACAATGAACCAAATCATAAAAACCCTTAACTCTCTTCAAACTTTAACATCATAAGTTTATAAACAAAATCATTACTCATAGAATAAGTGAAACTTTGTAGTTCCATATTTCTTCTGAACATATTCTATCCCTCTTCTCCATACGTTAAAATATCTCTCTTGTGAATGATCGTTTAAATAAGCAGAAATTTTAGCCATTTCTGCTAAATTAGAAACCTTAAATACCCATTATTCTAAAGAAGGCAGAATATCCTTCTTCCAATATTGACCCACCAGTAATCTTGCTGCTGTTATTAAATTCAACATTAAAATAGTTTCTTTAACATTAAAGTCCACGAAAATTCCCAAAAGGAACAGTTGGGGAGTAAACTTAATCTTCCTTTTAAAAACCTTTTGAATGTTCCACCAAATCATAATCCAAAAAGCTTTAATAACTTTACAAGTCCACCAAACATGAAAATAGGTTGCATCCAAGCAACCACATCTCCAACATTTAGGTTGCATGTTCGGGTACATACAGGACAGCTTTTTAGGATCCAGATGCCATCTATAAAACATTTTGTAAATTTTTTCCCACAAATTGTATATGAGCATTCCTTGACTTAATGCAGGCCATCTAGCGACCATTGAGAGTTATGATGGATCTTCCTGGGGCACTTATGACTCGAGTTAGAACTTCTGATGGTCACTGCCCCCCTGCAGTCGTGTGATCGCACCAGGTGCTCATCAACCAGGCTGCATTGTCCCATGGTCATACAACATTTTACGACAGTTTTACTGAAAAACGGCATTTACTTCGCTTTTTGAAAAACTGGGCCCATTGCAAACTATTGCTTTCCTTAACAACTGGCATTTGTTTAATAATTGCCACAGAAAAGGTCATAAAATCAGATGAATCACATGAGTGACCCAACTTATGACTGACATTAATTTTGACTAGTCATAACTCAACGACCATCTGTAATAAATTTAAAATTATTATTAATCTGTGGTAGTTCTTTAATGAATCTCACTTTATTCAATAGGGACTAATCTCCCAGGAGAGTGCCAAGTCAGGAAAGATAATTGAAGGGTGTTAATTAAGAACAGAATTTCTGAGATTCCCAGAAGCTTGTAGAAGAGGACGTGACTAGCCCCATATTAACATTTCTGATATCCACACCCCACCCAAGGGAGCCAGTTTTGTCTTAGGACACTTATATGGTGATGTGGCCATCGTGACTATAGCCAGAGGTACACAGAATGCTGTTACCACCAAAGTGGTACCTATTTATCTACTTGCATTTGCATGCTTTTGAACTGCAAGGTGGGCAGGAACTGGTGCAAGTAATTTGCTTTATAGCTATTGATATTTACTATATTAGAAATTAAAACTGACAACTTTAAAAGTACGTATTTATTTGACTTCACAAACCCCCTGAAAAGGTGTTAGACTCCTAGGGATCCCCAGAACATACTTTAAGAACTGCTGTCTTAGAATATAACACTGAGACTGTCAAAAATTAAGCAGAATTTGTATATCATACTTCATTTGGATGGTAATGGGTAGAATGGACCTTATTCCAATCTGAGTAAATATTGAAGCCTAAGCAGCAAGAGTTTCAGAGAAAGACAAGGAAGGGATAAAACTGATGCATAATAGTTCATGCATAGGTGTCCCACGTCAATTCATCAGTTTGATTTGCATTATGCTTTTCTTTGTAGATAAACTGAAAAGAGCTTTTGAAATCATATGTGAACATGTTGGAAGGAACTGGAAAATGCTCGCTCGAAAACTTGGAATTTCAGATGCCAAGATGGATAAGATTATAGCTGCTAATCCCTACAATTTGGAAGAACAATTAATGCAGTCGCTTGTAGAATGGCAAAAATCAAAAGGAAAGGATGCGAAGGTGGAGGATATAATAAAAGCTCTCAGGGACTGTCGAATGAACCTAGCAGCAGATTATGTTGAAGAAGCTGTGAAAGAAGCTGAAACTCAGTAGGATCAGTCAGAAGAGACTCTGTTGGCATTGAATTAAACATTCACAAGAGAAAACTAGGGGTGCCACATCTGGGCTGCAGACATGAATGATCATTAGATGGCAGCAAAGTGACACAGAAAATGTTTGACATTTTGCTTTTACGTAATAGTTTACAAAATTTTTGTAGCCAAATTTGCAAAGTTCTGCTTCAATTAAAAGATTTTCCTAATTTTGCTTGCCTTTATGTTTGCTGTTTCTATATAGACATAGACAGTTTATTCATGAACCTATTAAGATGAACACAAGGAATGTGCCTGCATCTGATAACCCAATCCATGGATACTGATGTAGCCATGGGCTGTATTTTCCAGTAAAATTGGCATACAATAGCCTGTATCAGCTTAAATTTCAATTGTGAAAAGTAATAATAAAAAGAAACAATACTGACTCCTTTCAAACTACAGTAGCATATGCTAATAGTTAACAGTGGGACATGGTCTTAAGCTGTTTCCTCATGAAAACATGAGTCATTTAGGTGAGGGACAGTGTAGAAATGTGTTGAATCAATACAAATAAACCTAGAAAGCAACTTTTGCTTCACTAAATTGATGTACCAGACTTTGCATAATCTCAAATTGGATAGAGTTGGGGCCTCCGAGTACAATGAAATGGGTACAAATCTTGAAGTGGTTGTGTTATTCTTTTAATTATCCAAAGAATCCTGTAAAATATCAAACAAATGGCCAACGTTTTTAGCCTTACCCACTTTGGATCACATTGGAGCAACAAAAAGATTCTGTGGGACTTTGACTCATTTTATAAATTCCAACTTGGGACTTTCTCTGTGCAGTTATCAAATGTTCAAGGGCCCTGCTTTATATCTATATAGCTTAGGTCAAACAGCATACTGTATTTTATGTGCAGCATGCTATATTCGGTATCTCAATGTCTTCATTTTATACAAAAGCAATCTTACCACTGCCTCCTCCCAATTAGTAATGTTCTTTCAGTCAGATTAAAAAAAAACACACAGCTGTGTTATAATTACATTTATGATAACCTGTAATTGGACTAAGGAGTGTCTTTGGAGGCGAACCAAAAAAAAGGAAGATAGCAGCCACAATCATGAAATCAAATTCTGCCCCTATTTACATGCACTGCACATAGGTAATAAAAAGGGGTGAATTTTTGATCTCATGCTCATGTTGTCTTGAGTATTTTGACCTTCTCTCACCAGGGACATCCCGGATTGGACTTGGTAATACAAAACCAGCCCCTTGGAATTGTGCTTCCACAGCCAAATATCTCCACTGAAAATGTTAAAACAAACGAAGTTAAGGAGCCTCAGGCAATGTTTGTTTCTTCTGCAAAAGCCACATCCCTCCATGCTAGCACAGACAAGTATAGCCCTTGTCAACTGCTTTGTATTTTTTTTAAAAAGCAACAAAGAATCTTGGAAATTTAGAAATACAGAATAAGCTAGGTAAGAATTTAAAAAAAAAAAACTAATAAAAAAACTTCTTGAATATATGATGTGATTCCATGGAGAAAACTTTTAAAAAATGAAGCAATCATATTCAACATTTTGACCCAAAAGGCACTTGAACAGACAAAAGTAAACTATTAGGATCTACTTAGTATCACTAAAGAAATTATATTTCTATAAAGAAAGTATGGGCTAGAAAGGTCTACAAGGCTGTTCTATTTTAAGTACTAACGTCTTAAAAATTACTTCAGCAAGGTCCAACTCTACATCTGCAGGAAAAGAGAGCTACTTCTGCACTGCTACATAGATAGGGACGTGATTTAGAACTAACCCATTTCCAAATTGCCAAACGCTGAGACATGCCCAACAGTAGCTGCAATGGAACAGATCTGGTGGCTCCATGTTTGGAAAACTAAGTGCTGGCTTTAGGTCCTAGTCCGAATAAAAACATAATAGGAGGTACCTGAAATATAAAATACATCATTTGTATGTGGTTGCCATAGAATCCTCAGACCAAGTTTGGATATTCTGATATTGTTTGATGGGGAAGTAGTTGAAATGGTAGACTAATAATAGGGTGGTTCTGATCTGGAATGACTTTCATCCCTTTGAAGACTGCAGATGGAGGCTGCTCTGTGTCCCTGCTTTGAGCGCCTAGAGAAAAGGTAGCATATAAAGTGAACAAATCGTTATTATTATAATTTATTCAATGTATAGGCTGCCTGATCAGTTACTGGAACCACCTCTTCATACAGCTTCTAAGAACTAAACAAGAGATTCAGAATTGTCAGATTAAGCTAAAAGGGCAGTCATTAACAATTTCAAACTTCTGTCACCCAGGAGGATGAATGAAGCTCGGATGTCCACGCAAAACTGCATTTATTTCCAGTATTGTTGACTGTAGTTCTAAGCATGCATTGCTCACCTTTCTTAGGGAGAAGCTCAGCAATATTTTTGCAGTCGTGATATGTTCTTCCAGTAATAACAGGAAACAATTTCTCCAGTTATACTGTAGCAATTTAAATCACAACAATTCTACCAAGATGAAAAATTCACAGTTCTGAACTGGAAGGCTGGATTCCTTTAAAAAAAAAACACCTCACAACCCACACCTAACTGAATATCTGCAATAGGAAACTAATTTTAAAATCCCTATATGATGGAACACTGCTAATTATTTATTGCCACTGCCTTCTTCTATACCTCTTAGTTCAATGGATGGGGTTTTTTTTATATTACGGTATGTGTTATGTTACACACAATTCCTGCTTAAACCAGTTTTTACGTAATTAGACAATTAACATACTTTGCCTCCTCCTTGTGCTCCCCTCCTTTTCTTAAGGCAAAGCTTTGATTGCTAATGAAGCACACAGAAACCCAAACATGGCAAAGTATCTTTCCATGTTTTGTGACAGGCAAGATACAAAGATAGCTCTAAGTTGTAACTCTTCCCCCACATCCATATAATGAAAAAGACATAGTTTAGGTATGTCCAAGTACTTTAAATACACTTCAGGTATAGGTCTCTGATTCTATTTGATGGATGCAGTGTAGCATTAGCAATGACATTTTAAAGGCCTGGGATTATTGATTCATTGCATTTATGTCTTGTTTTTTCTCTGAGAAATCAAGTCAGTTTTACATGGGGGCCTCCTCAAATTGTATCCAAACAAGGTACAAGGTGAATTTGGCTGAAAGAGAATGACTAATAAAAAATCATCCCACTGAGCTCCACAATTTAATTAGCCTTAAAATTTTGCAATGTGTTAACCCCTGTACATTATTGTCTATCCACAGAGTAATGGCATTAAATTTGGGTGCAACTCAACAATCCACCACTTGACCTCCTTTCAAATAAGTCTTCGTTTTCTTACAGACCCATCAACTTCTCCACTGTGGATCTGAAATCTCTTTCAGAACAGATCTGATAAGTACGTGAAGGACTGTAGACGGAGGACTCACTATCCCATTCCAGTTCCTCTGAGAGAAACAATTTCAGAAGTGAAAAAAACAATACATTGATAAAAACAATAATACATGTAATACATATATTAATATTAATACGTTTATTACATTATCCTAAATATTTATTTAGATCACATGATTACATTTCAGGGTGCATAGATATTTGACTCTGCTTCAAGTCTAATTGTCTCAGTTATCTGTGATATATAAACCACATGCCATAGCTTTTATAACACTTCAGCTAAAGAAGGTAATAACATGCCAGTCCTTGTTTACTGTGACCGTTGCAGCTCTGAAAAGATGCACTTTGGGATTTTCAAAATGACAAGCAATATGTAAATATTGTAAATAAATAAAAAATAGTTATTCAATAATTAAAAAGAATATTAAATATAGAATTCAACAAACACAACACCACTGTATCCATAAATTGTGGAGGCTGTAATTAGTTTAAAAGTTATACATATACTATATACTTATAACTGCTGCTCCTAAGTCTCATTGGGGAGGTCCTAGGGTAGGGGTAGGCAACCTTGGCTCTTTTATGACTCGTGGACTTCAACTCCCAGAATTCCTGAGCCAGCATTAGTGGGGAGGAAGACTATGATTTATTCTGTAGGAAGACAAAGATAATGAATATGGCTTAGATCATGGCTTAATTTCCCTTCATATACTGTATGTAAATGGAAATATTGGCAGTGAGGTCGGCTCCTAATGGTGCCACTGGATACTCCCCAGCCGCCAGGGTGGTGCTGAGTTGAACACAGACCAATGCAGCACTATTCTTTACTGCATCCATGCCTGGGTATTCTGAAAAAGATCCTATTGGGTTGAAACCAATGGTACTCTTCGGTTTTTGAAAAACAATTAACAAAAACAAATACCACTGCAAATACACCAATTGCAGTGAGGCAAATAGCTTTGCAAGAGCTCACTCATCTTGTCCCTACTTAAAGGAGCCTTCTAGTCAGTGGTGGGATTCAAATATGTGAACACCCAGTTCTCTGTGTGGATGCCGCTTCTGGAAGTCCATTCTGTGCCTGGGCAATAAAAAATTAGCTACCGGTTCTGCCGAAGTAGTGCGAACTGGCTGAATCCCATCACTGCTTTTAGTCATCTATCCTAACATTACAATTAGATTTAAAATAAAATGATTTACTGTATACTGAAGATTGGATCTTCACTTTTCAACTGTAACTGTAACTTATAACTGTACTTGTCAAAAATACCTCATTTCAGAACCAGAGATTTAAAAAGAATATTGCTGCCTCCACGTTATCCTAAAAAAGTAAGAGGAACACTCTGTAATGCTCCATAATTATTCCACAACCTGCTAGAGTCTGGTGGCATTAATTTGACTCTCCCAAAGATACTGATCAAAATCAAATTATTGCAGGCTTCCGTCTCTTTTTATGATTTGACATGATAGAAGTTAATAAAAGCTGTTTTGTAAGATGGGCAGCTATTTAAATTTGACAAATAAAACACTTACTTGCTATTATAAAATGCTTCTGGATCCACTTGTACATATGTACTGTTTCTAGCCAGAAATCCATATTGCTCCCTCTTTGTTGACTTTCTGCAAATATTAATGACCTGGTTGTTCTCCCATATCTTGAGCTAGGCTGAGCCTCTTTGGTTTTTGGTTCTGATCAGCTGTATTCTTCCTTAGATATGCAGCTTGATTTCTTTTAAATCCCATTTACATTTTTAAATTGTAAGACGCCCAGAATCCCTACAGAGTCAGGCAGCTTCAAATCTGAAATAATTAATTAATTT